CGTTTTGTAGCGACTTATAAATAAATTCACCAGATCTTTGAAAAAGTAATGTTTATTCATTGAAAGTATAAAGCGAAAGAACAAAAAGAATTAATATGTAACAAATAAATGAATGAATGTGTTGTTATGGAAATATTGATTTTTCTTAAAAACATTATGTATATTAATGAATTGAAGTTATTACAAATGTATAAAGATGTAAAAAGTGTAAAAGTGCAGTGAAAAGTGTAAGGTGTAATAAAAGTGTAGAGTGTAAATGAAAGGTGTGGATGATGAATGCTACAGTACTCCCCCCCAAGTGACGATATTCGTTGCGAAATGGACTTTCTTCTTCTTTGGTGGGTAGGTGCGTAAAGCTTTTCCAACAGTAGCAGAAGAAGAAGGATTTGAAGTAGCAGAAACAGGAGCTGAAGTAGTAGGAACAGGAGCTGAAGTAGCAGGAACAGGAGTTGAAATAGCAGGAACAGGAGCTGAAGATCTGGTAGAAAGTTCAGTAGAATCTGAAGTTCTAGGAATGAAGGCTGGCTTGAGACGTTCTGTCGAAATATTGACAACTCTTCCTGAAACATTAACTGCAAATAAATGATCAGAGATACGTTTCTCAATAGGAAAAGGGCCAGAATAAGGAGGTTGTAGTGACTTCCTAACAGTATCTTCTCGAATCCAAACATGAGTACAATCAAAAAGATTCTTGTGAACAAAAGGTGATCTTTTGCAATGATGACTTGTAGGAGATGATCTGATATTCCTCATATGAATCCTGTGTTTTTCAAGAAAGATTTCAGGATCTGCAGGAAAATCTTCTTCAATGAAAAATTCTCCAGGAATACGAAGAGTGGATCCATAAAGAAGTTCTGCAGGTGAAGCTTTTAAATCTTCTTTGAAACACGAACGTAATCCCAAAAGAACTGAAGGTAAAGATTCTACCCAGTTGGTTGTTTCGTGGCACATAATCGCTGCTTTCAAAGTCCTATGCCATCTTTCCAGAATTCCATTTGAAGCAGGATGATAAGCAGAAGTTCTAATCCTTTGGCATCCAATTAGGTTTGTTAAAGCTTTGAATAAAGCTGCTTCAAACTGAGGACCTTGATCTGTTGTAATGCTGATAGGAGAACCAAAACGTGCTACCCAATGTGAATAAAATGTTGTAGAAATAGTTTCAGCAGAAATCTCAGAAATAGGAACAGCTTCAGGCCATCTGGAAAAACGATCAATCATAGTAAGACAATAACGGTAATTTTGACAAATAGGAAGTGGTCCAACAATGTCTAAATGCACATGCTGAAAGCGTTGATCAGGAATTGCAATCTTAATTGGAGAATTCTTGGTGTGTCTTGAAATCTTCGCACGTTGACATGGAAGACAAGTTCGAGTCCATTCCTTCACATCTTTCTTCAAAGAAGGCCAAATGAATTTCAGTAGTAATTGTTTAGATGTCAATCTGCCGCTGGGGTGAGCGAGTCCATGAACAACATCAAAAATTCTCTTGCGTAAGAGTTTAGGAACATATGGACGAATTAATTCCGAAGAGCAATCACAATAAATAGGTATGGTTGATCCTGAAAGAATAAGTTTCTTCAACAGAAGTGAAGAATTTGAAGAAAGTAAAACTTGAAGTTCTTCATCTTCTTTCTGATAATTAGCAAGTTCTTCTAAAGAAACTATAATAGGCATTGAAATAGATTCAATTCTTGACAGAGCATCAGCAACTGAATTCATTTTTCCAGAAATATAGGTAATATTTGTAGAGAATTGAGCAATAAAGTCCAATTGTCTGATCTGTCTTGGTGACGCTTTATCCAATTTCTGACGGAAAGCAAAAATCAAAGGTTTATGATCAGTTCTGATAATCAGTTGTCTTCCTTCAACAAAATGCCTGAAATGTTTAATAGCCAAATAAATGCTAAGAAGTTCTCTATCATAAGTGCTATAATTTCTTTGAGCTTTGTCTAGTTTCTTTGAGAAAAATGCTATTGGTTTGATATCGTCGTCAATAGACTGTTCAAGTGATGCACCAACAGCAAAGTCAGAAGCATCACAAGTTAAAATAAGAGGAGCATGAGGAGCAGGATGAGAAAGGGTAGTAACTTGTAAAAGTTCTTCTTTACATGACTCGAAAGCTAATTCCGCTTCTTTAGTCCAAGAAATAATTCTTCTATCCCTCTTGCGACTGTCCTTTAAATATTCTGTTAACAGAGCTTGATGATTTGCAGCATCCTTGAGACAGCGACGATAATAATTGATAATTCCTAAGAATCTGCGTAATTCATGAAGTGTCTTAGGTTTAGGATAATCAATAATTGATTTCACTTTTTCGGATGTAGGTTTAACTCCTTGGTTAGAAACTAAGTAACCAAGAAAAGAAATCTCGCTTTGACCGAAAAGACATTTAGCGACATTGATTGTCATTCCAGCTTGTTGAAGACGATCAAAAATAATGCGTAAGTGAGCAATATGTTCTTTCTCATCTTTAGAAGCAATAAGAATGTCATCAAGATAACAAAAGGCAAAACTCAAATCATTAAGTAAAGAGTTCATGAGCCGTTGAAAAGTTTGGGCTGCGTTTCGTAAACCGAAAGGCATTACGACAAATTCAAAAAGCCCAAATGGAGTAGTGACAGCTGTTTTGTGAATATCTTCTTTAGCGACGGGTACTTGATAGTACGCTTTAACTAAGTCGATTTTAGAAAAGATATTCTTACCAAAAAGTGAAGAAGAAAAATCTTGAATATGAGGTAAGGGATAACGATCCGGGATAGTCACTGAATTGAGTGCACGATAATCACCACACAGTCTCCAAGAATTTTGTTCCTTTTTAGGTACCATATGTAGAGGGGCTGCCCAGGAGCTGCTTGAAGGCCTGCAAATTCCTTGCTCCATCATAGACTTGAATTCTTCCTTGGCACATTTAAGTTTCTCAGGAGTAAGTCTTCTGGGAGTCGAAAATTTAGGAGAACCTTCCGTAACGATATGATGTTCAACACCATGTGTTTTTACCGAGGAAATTGGAGAAAAACGGGTGAGTCCTGGAAATTCGGTTAAAAATTTGTGGTACACAGAATCAGGAGATGTGGTAAAAATTGACAAATGTGCAACTTCTTGAATTTTTCCAGTATTCATAAGACCGGTAACATTATCAATCAATTTCTTGTTTTTAATGTCAATTAGGAGATTAAAATGACAAAGGAAATCGGCGCCTAAAATAGGACGTTGAATATCCGCGACACAAAATTTCCATTTGAATTCTCTCCTTAAACCGAGGTTCAAAATTAAAGTTTTAGAACCGTAAGTATTAATTTGAGTACCATTTGCGGCAAAAAGTTTTAAATTAGTATGCCACGGCTTCAATAAAACCTTTTTAGGTAACAACGATATATCAGCGCCCGTATCGACAAGAAAATTCAAATTTGAATGTCTGTCGAAAATAATGAGGCGATTGTTAGAAACACCGTCGTAAGCAGCCTCAGTCTTAAGCGGCGTTTTTAGTTTTCCTGTGAAGCCAAGAATGTTTTGGACATAGAACAAGGTAAAGTACATCGTTTAGCCTTATCACCAAACTTCTTATGGTAAAAACAAATTGATGTATCTTTAATATCTTTATTTGATTTGTCTTTGTTACGCGATAACGATCTAAATCTTCTATTCTCTCTAGACCGGCTTTTGGAACGATCTCGACGACGAGAAACTTCAAGAGCTTCGATTCTTCGTAGCAAATCCGCGAAATCCGAAGATTTATTATTTGCATTATTGGAAACTTCCGCGACTTGCAAACCGCCGTCCCGATCAGCAATTTTATCGGCTAATTCCGCAAGTTTAACAAGAGGAACATCCTCTACTACGGCTAAAGTCGTTTGAATTCTATGTGGTAAGCGTTGAAGCCAAATCATTTGCAAAACACTATCTGCTAAAGATCCTCCAGACAAATGACGAATTTCTCGAAGTAATTCCGAAGGCTTTTTATCATTAAGTTCAATTCCAGCTAATATTTGTCTCAAACGTTTTTCCTCTGAATCCGTAAAGCGATTTATTAATATTTTCTTTAAATAATTATATTTATCTGTTTCAGGTGGATTTTCAATGACTTCAGATATGTTTACTAAGGCTTGTTCATCAAGATGACGAATGACAGAACTATATTTAATATCATCTGATCGAATTCGATAAACCGTAAACTCACTTTCAATAGAAGCAAACCAGAGTTTAGGTTGTTTATGCCAGAAAGTCGGTAGTTTTAATAAACGAAACTCATTTGAGTGAATTTGTAACATAGGATCACTCACCTGATGTCCAGTTTGAGAAGGTAAAATATTAATATTATCTGATCCAACCTGATTTGATCCGCTCGCCAAATCCATATCAATCTGTGTATCCGAACAGGGTCTAACTGGTGATCTATCGATTGGCATTTTCCTCTTGTTCCAGGAATCCGATAAAATGATTTGAGAATTTCCGTGAAGGACTAATCCGCCTCTGATGTTTCAAAGATCCGGAGAATGAATCTCTTAAAATCAGAATATCCAGCAATTCTTCCAAGCGATGATAATATTTCGCAGACTTCAAATACGACGATCACTTGGCACTTATTCCGCATCAGCCTTTAAAATGCGTCGGCTTTAATATCACGTCGGCTTTAATATCACGTCGGCTTTAATATCACGTCGGCTTTAATATCACGTCGGGGTCACCAAAAATGTAGCGACTTATAAATAAATTCACCAGATCTTTGAAAAAGTAATGTTTATTCATTGAAAGTATAAAGCGAAAGAACAAAAAGAATTAATATGTAACAAATAAATGAATGAATGTGTTGTTATGGAAATATTGATTTTTCTTAAAAACATTATGTATATTAATGAATTGAAGTTATTACAAATGTATAAAGATGTAAATGTAAAAGTAGTGAAAATTAGTGTTAAATGTAGTGTAAAAGTGTAAAGTGTAGTGAAAAGTGTGAGGTGTAATAAAAGTGTAGAGTGTAAATGAAAGGTGTGGATGATGAATGCTACAGTTTGTCACGTTTATTATTCCCGAGAGAGGAAAATCCACTCGGGAGAGAGTTTATAACCTCAATACTACAGAATGTCACTTCATCAATGCAGCAATCCCAAGGATGCACTTTTTGGGTAATTATATTATAACAGTAACACACAATAGCTGCAGTACGAGGTAATATCATTTAATTGTCAATAATAATAATAATAATAACCGAAATTCAAACTATATAGTATATGCATGTCATATCAAATTTAATTAATTCTAATTATGCTATTGTTGTTACACAACGCATTACTTGAGGGTCCGTCGCATATCAACAATGCAGAAGCGAGGAAATATCCTATCCATGTGAAAAGGACAATACGTATAGCCCCAAAGAGGACATCATTACATACCATTGCATCGCAAACATCCAAGTTAGTCATTAATGGTACGCTTTTCAAGTCCTCATATAATCAGATATATCAAAATATATACACTAGACAGTATAAAGTTTAATACAAATGTTAATACACTGTAAGTCAGGTAATTTTTGTGTGGTTAGTTGTCACTTGATTAACTTGTAGCAATTAGTGCCATATACCGTCACATAACTTTATCATGTATTAATTTATTATGAAATAAGTCATTTATTATATTTGCATATTCCAGATACACACACAGCAGCTTAAAAGTGTTGTTAAAATCACTAGGTATCAAGATTGTCACAAATTAGGATACTAGGACACAAGCCTAGCTGCAGAGAAAGTATTATTTATCCAAATTTGATATATTTAGTGATGTAAGTATTTTAATATCATTTAGTAGTTAAAATTGTCTTACTATATCATAATAAGTATATTATTCAAAACCAAATGACTTTAGGTTATTTAATTGTCAAATAAATGTTTAAGTTTATAATATTGAACTCTAGTATTTGTTAATATGTGGTTATATAATAGATCCGTTTATCATGGCACATATTGCTTTAGTTCACACATTTAGAAGGATTATTACACTTATTAAGAGCTTTTTAACTAAAAATATCAATGTTTTGGTATCTATTCAGTATTACAAGGAACACTGCACTATGTATGATTCCGTAATATTTTATGTAAATTGTTAATAGAAAGTCATTTACTAAATACTTATATTTTATGTTTACACTAGGAGACGACAATAGATGAAGTGCCACCAATTAACTCAGAAGGATTTCAACTGAGTGTTGACATATAAATGTAAACGAAGGAAAATCACATACCCAGGACACCATATGCACTGATGGTGTAATATAAAAGTCCACATTTATCGATGATCACTTGCAAGATAGCTATTTTATCCTGTGTAGTATACAATAGATGTATCTTCAGGAATATTAACTTTGAACAACAATAAGTGGTAATTGAGTATTTTTGGAGTTTAAAGTTTGTATTACTCACAATTTAAAGTTTTAAGTCATATAAATTTTATACACCGCGAGCAGTACTGTTTCCATGCACATTTTAGGTCTGTACGATCACTTATTTTAAGATTTTAATATTATAGAGTTTTGTAATAAATTTATAATTTCAACATATGTAATTACTACTTTAATAGAACATCCTTCACTAATTTGTTCTTACACTAGATTCAATGCATATTTTACATCATTACATACATGTGTTAAATTTCCTAATTAAACAAACAGTTAATTGATTATTATGTGTAATGAATATATCATTGCTCGTAGTAGATTTATTACTTCAAAACAAACTATTTCTAGATTATTATTAGTAATAAGATGTTTTAAGGTTTATATCGTTCAATGATTAGTATTTGATATTTATGTGCAAGACTTTTGCAATTTAATACGATCTGCTTGTCATTAGCATTTTAACTTAGTTTTAACACAAAAAATATAATTGTTCCACTTATATGAAGATTAATTAAGAAAAGTTATAGACTTTGAGCATTACTATCCAATGTTATTATGGAAACAGCTAATAGCTATCAATATTTTATATAATGTAAAGTTACGTAGTACGATGTGTGTGATTATTATTGAAATGTCACATGTCAATTACTTATGCATCTCAATACATGTGTCCAGATGCAGCAGCACATGGGATCCCAACAAATTAACTAAAAACGTACAAGATTGAGGCACTGAGGTACAATTATAAGGAAATATAACACCACCAGCTCTCCACACATATCAATAACGTAAGAGCTTAATGTTTATCAGTAATTATTTGTGAAGAGATCACTTTGTTCCACATTGGCGTTTAGTTATTATAATTTACGCAAAAATGTGTAATATTTCTTTACTAAACGCATATACTTTGTTCATTTAATTAAATTAAATAGTAATTTATGGTTTATATAATATTAATATTATAGTACTTGACACATTAGTTGGTGAGTTCACAATTTTAGTGTATATTATTATTATTAAGTAGAGTGTTTTACTAATTATCTGTGAATTTACTGCGTCACATATTTCTTTTCACTGTTTATGTATGATAAATATTTATATCAATAAGTCGATTATATGGTCATTATGGGTTTACAGGGCTGTCCCTAAGTAACTCTGTGTGCCCATATATAAATTTAAAACGACCACACAGACATATATAAGTCACTTATCTTTGCAGGTCATCAGGATGGTAATATATTGTCTCACGTGGACCACCAGCAGTTTCCAGGAGGCTTCATACACCACAGTCCCTCCGAGGAAGACCAGACTGATGAGGCTGTGTTGCAGCGTCAAAGGGATGATATATCCACTCAATTATATATCACTATTTTATAATTAATTTGCACACATCGAATATCATATATTTTATATGTCAGTTGTAATTATTATCACTAAATGAGTTACAATTTACACACTAGTATATAATTTTTAGTTAATTTAGTAACATAGTACTAAATTCTCAGTATATCACAAGTTACAATATATCAGTTTACAAAAGATATTAAGTTTATTTAAATGTAACTAGTTAACTACCTTTTCACAGTATATCAAATAATGCAGCTAATCAATTAAAGATTCATATATTTTGAGACCCAATATTAGTTTATTTATTAATATCTCAAAAAACATAAAAAGTATATAGAAAGTATATTATAATACAATCACAGTCTTGTGTAGAATTAGCTAATAGCCAGCCACTATATAATACTTATGCAAATATCTTATTGCATTTATAAGATGTCATTTGCAAATAATCCAGATTTCACAGATCACTTGCTTCAATAGAAAAGCTTTACTTATCTTGTAAATTAGAACTAAATTACTCACTAAATAATCTAAATATAGATCATTTATTCAGAGTACATATATGAAGACGTATCTATATCTATAGAACTATAATTTATGATGAATACTTATTCAAATCACTATATATCTATCTTAGAAGTGTAAACAGTCATCAAAATATAGACAGTTTTGTATATTAATTCAATTCTTATAGAGAGATTTCTTATTTCACAGAGTTCATGAGGAGGATGAAATATACACTATAACCGTCCACCATTAGCTCCAATATCCTATGAATAAGGGATCTTCTTCAATTGTTAAATAAATTATCTTCTCAGGATAATTTAAAGTCGAATAGGCACATCCAGATGGGTGAGTATAGAAAGTTCACAGTCATTGCAAATTACACTATATATATATATGTTCCACTAATCAATATCTTAGAAGCAGGCACCAAACTACTATTAGATTTTTGCTTATTTATTTCAGATAAGAGAGGCAGTCAGACATAGTTTAATGGAGACATTTATGCAAAAAGAAGGCACTAAGATCTTATATCGTGTAGTGCACATACTACGTATAGAAGAACATGTATCAATATTCGTAAGTTTACTAAATATTGACACTAATAACCAACTTGTTTATTCAACGTATATATTTATTTAAGAATCAATATTAGATTTAGCAATAAAGCCAGAACTAGTACTAAGGTTTATTCTCATCTATTGCAGATGAAAGAAGCAGTTACTACATCACAACGAGAGTACAGTAGTAAGATACGAACAGCTTATCATAGTAATATTATTATCTGATATGAAAAGGCATTAAGGCCTTAACTAATTTATGCATTATGTATCAATAATTACAGTGGATTTCTCATTAAGTCTAGCTTATTACGTATTCTATTATTTGTCAATTAATTAAGTAAAGACACTGTATGTTAGCACATGAAACTTTATATTGTGTTTATTGTTTATTACGTTCATAAACTATAACGTCTTAACTTATCTATATTATAGATTATTATTTAATAGATATCCGAAATTTATTTAAATTGTAACATCTGTTAAACTCAATTAAGTATAAGCAATTTTAGTGAATTTTCTTTATAAATTCAACACATTTTAATTAAGTACTGTCTATATTTAAGTATTCATTAATTAATCAGTTAAGACACTAATAGTAACCTTGATTGAAGGTTGAGGTGGCTGTCAGTGTGTATGTTGAGTGGAATATTAGAGGTGTGTGGAGAGAAAGGGGGAGAGCGAGTGAGAGAGTGAAGAAGCTGAAGGTGGCGAATGCAAGGGGAGTGCAGGCAGTGGGTGAGAGGGAATAGAGCGGTGAGAAGGAAGAGAAGTGATGCAGGTAGAGTGAGTTGGCAGTTTGGAAGATAGATCAGGGGCACGAGGGGAGAGGAAGGTACTAGAAAGAGGAGTGCAGGTGTAAAAGGAGAAGAAAGATAGGGGATAGGTGTAGGGCGGGGAAGTCTCTAGGACAGAGGAACAGTCGAGATATCGGGAAAGTCTGTCCTCAGCAAGAGGAGAAGTTAACTGAGATAGGGTATAGGGAAAGTCACTAGGCATAGAGTAAAGGAGATATAGATGAAAGAAAAGAAATAGAGGAGATAGAAAGATTAACGAAGACGGAAAATGGGAGAGAAGAGGGAGCACAGGGACGGCAGAGGAGGTTTTGAAAAAGGAAAGGGAGGAATTAGAGGAAGTAGGGTTGAGAAAGGAGAGAGAAGAAAAAGGGGATTTGGAGTGGGGCGTTCAGGAGAAGTAAAAAGGTAATAAGGTCGCCGGAGGTTGAAAGGAGGGAGGAGGCAGGAAGGGATAGGGGAGATATTGAAAGAGATGGGAGGGAGTGGAAGGAGGAGATAATTCAGGAGATGAGAGAGATCAGAAGAGAAATTAGAGAAGAGATCAAGGAGGGAGTAATAGGGCAGGAGGAGTTAAGGGAGGAGGTAGGGGGCTGAAAAAGGAAATGGAGGAGAGGGATAAAAAGTGGAGAGAGAAAGGGGGAAATTTATGGAAGGATTAAGGAGATGGGGAAGAAATGGAAGAATAGAGATAGGAAAAAAGGGGGAGAGAGAGAAAGGGGAGAAGGGAAAGGAAGTGAGGAGATGGAAGATAGGATAAGAGGATGGAATGGAAATGGGAGAGAGGAAAGAGAAGAAAGAGAAAGAAGTGATAATAACAGGAATTAAGGGAGGAGAAGGGGGGGTGAAAGGGGAGTGTGGAGAAATTATTGAAAGAGATAGGGGTATGGGGGGCAGGTAGAGGAAGTGAGGAGAATAGGGGAGGGGGAGAAGGACGGGACAAGTATAGCTTTAGTAAGGGTGGGAGAGATGGAGGTTAAAAGGGAGATAATGGAAAAGAAAAGGAGGTTGAGAGGAAGGGAGGAGAGGATTGAAGAGGATCTAACGTGGAAAGAAAGAAGGATGATGTGGAGATTAGGAGAGTTGGCGAGAGGGGAAGAAGAGAGGGAAGGAGGGCATGGGTAAGGTATGGGAGAATTTGGATGAGAGGTAAATGGTGGAGATGGGACGAGGTGAAAGAGGAACTAAAGGAGGAAGGAGCAGGGGATGAGAGGAGGGAAGAGAGGAGAGAGGAGGGAATAGAAGGAAAGGGGATGGAAGCAATACAGGGGACGGGAAAGGAGGGGAGGGAAAGAGTGGGGAAGGAAGGGTGAAAAAGAGAAGAGAGAGAGGAGGGAAGTGGGAGGTAAAGGGCAAGGAAAGGGGGAGGAGGGGAAGAGGAAGGAGAAGGAGAAGGGGAGGAAGGATGGAAGGTGGCATTCTGGAATGTGGCGGGATTAAGAAATAAGGACGCGGACTTCTGGGAAGCGGTGGGAGAATGGGACGTAATGTTTTTTCTGGAAACATGGGTAGATGAAAAGGGGTGGGAAGGATAAAAGGGAGGATGCCGGGAGGATATAAATGGGAGGTGCAATATGCGAGGAGGAAGAGTAAAAAAGGAAGGGCTATGGGGGGAATTATAGTGGGGGGTGAGAAAAGGGGTAGGAATAGAAGGAAAGTGTAAGGCGGATAAAGAGGGAATGGTGGAGGTGGGGATAGGAAAAGGGGGGAGAGATGGAGGTTGGTGGGAGTGTAACATAATGGGGAGATGGAGAGAGAGCTAGGGGAGATGAATGATTGGATGGAGGAGGAGGGAGGAACAGAGTAAAGAACGATAATAGGGGGGGACTTTAATGCAAGAAACGGGAAATTTAGGAGGAAGAGTGGAGATAGGAGAGGAGGAGGAGAGGAAGGGAAGGGGAGAAAATCAAGAGATACA